TTTTTTCTTTTTTTTTTTCTTCCGAACTACACAAAATTTCTTCCATTTAATTTCAAATCATTTGTATTTATTTAATAAAGAGCCTTAATTATAAATATATTTCATAATTATTTACCTATACCTATCTGAATATTTGATAATATTTCTACTATATTATATATAATTCTCGAATGTGCTTAGCCTAAGTGAGAGACTTGCATGCTTCAGGATCCTAGCTGTCAAAATTTCATGTTTTAATATTTAGATTGAATAGATTTTAATTTAATTCAATCCAAAAATTAGGTTCGGATTACTATAAACTTGTTGATTTATTTTTTATTTAAAATAGATGTATTAATTATATTTTAATATCATTCCTATTATAACTATTGAATTGTAAATGCATTTTAAAAGTTGATAACTTTTGTATTTCTTATCGGTTTTACATATATAATATATCAAATTAATTATCTTTTGATGAGTTTTGATTTGACATCCATTTTGTATATATAAAATAAATAAATTATATTTTTGTCTTTATAATAATAAAAAAAACTATTAAAATAAATTAGAAAAATAAAATTCTTTCTTAATTAATATATTTATGTTTAATGTAGTCATATATTACTAGTACAACGCCCGTGTATTACACGGGTGCTTGCTAATTTTTTCCTTAAAATCTAAATTAATGAGAAAAAATAGGTGAAAATTTAAATACTTTTATAAAAACATATATATATTATAATATTTTTAGTATGACACTTGTTTTGTGTGATTTACTTGTGTTATATTTTAATAATTTTTTTAACTTACAACATATATCTACATTAAACATAAATATATCAACTGAGTAATAATTTTATTTTTCTAATAAACTTTAATAAATATTATTATTTTTTATTATTATAAAGACGAATATAATTTATTTATTTTATATATACAATATGGATGTCAAATCGAAGATCATGAAAAGACGATTAATTTGATTTATTATATATGTAAAACTATAAGAAATACAAAAGTTATCAACTTTTAAAATACATTTATAATTCAATAGCTAATTGAAGGAAACAAATCAAAAGTCAGGGATATTTTAGTCACTTAGTATCTCACTATGTAAAATTATAAGGAATTAAAGGGTTATATTAGTACAAGTGATATTAAAATACCTAAGTTAGCTAAATAATATTTATAGAATGTCCGAACCTAGATTATTAATTATTAATATATCAAGATTATTTGTCCAAACCTAATTACCAAGCATGATTTTTCGCCAAGTAGGATTCCGAAGCACCAGAAGCAGTCACGTAGGCTCAGCGCATTCGGGAATTATATATAGGGAGGATAAGTTAAAAAAATCATTATAATATTAAGTTGCACAAGTAACAAGTGTCATACTAAAAAAATATAATAATATATATTTTTTAGAAAAATATTTAAATTTTCAACTAATATTTCTCATTAATTTTAAATTTTACAAAAAAATTTTAGCAAGCACCCGTGTAATACACAGACTTTGTACTAGTGAAAATCTATATTTATAATAAGAAAAATGCTATAAATACATAATAAATGTACATAGATGTATACACAATATTTACATGGAGTGAGGTTCATTTGATTTTTTATTTTTAGTAAGTCCCATTTAATGTGAGTGTTAGTTGCACTCTTATATACAATATTATGTACGTGTCACATTTTTCTTAAATAACTATTATTTGTATATTTATTATTTATATTGTCTATATATTTTATTTAATATTTGATAATTCTTATCTCCCAACTACACCTTTCTCCCACCTCCTCCGCTCCCCATGTCTGGTTCTTTAACTAGATTTAATTCCATCTTCAAATCCGGATTCTCTCTCTCTCTCTCTCTCTCTCTCTCTCTCTCTCTGTGACACTGTGTGAGAGAAGCTGAGGTGTGAGTATTTAATGTGTCTCTATGCTCTGACCCACTTTTTCTCCTCTTCTTCATCTGCCTTCACCTTTGTTTGAAAAATGTTTGTCTGAAATTATTCGGGTAAGTCACTATATATCCTTTCTTAAGCTCACAAAGCTGTGGATTTTGTTATTTGTTTTTCAACGAGGTTATCTTTTTTCTTCTTCCTCCGAGGTACAGATCTATGATCTCATTCGTTCTGTCTTTAATTTTTTATTTTTTTTTTTCATATTGAAACTGTATGTATGCTTTTGAGCTTCAAGTTAATGCTTGATTCACGTTTGGTAGATCTTTCACATGTTTCTGAATACTATTTCAGTGCGTTTTGGGGCTAAATTTCTTGGTCTGTGAAAAAAGTCGAAATCTTGAAGATTTAGGGCAATCTTTTGTTCAATTTTTCTCTTAATGTTGGAAAAAGGGTGTGAGGGTTTAGGTTTAGGACATAGTTTTTGTTCTGTTCTGTTAGAAGAGACAAATAGTTTTAAGTTCGCGTAGTTTTCTTGGCTTATGTTAGCTTAAAATCGTGATACTTAAGCAAGCTTTCGAATATTTTGCAGATCTTTGAAGAAATTATAGAGTTTTTGCTCTTTCTTACTGTCCCTCTTGCAGGTTTGCAACTTTTTCCTCTGATTTTGTACTGTTTTATTTCACTTGCGATTAATTTCTTCTATTTTTACTCGACCGTGTAAGTTGCGATTAGTTCTTTAACTTGGAGGCCTATATAAGAGTTCTAAGCTCCAAATAATATATGTTGGTGTTGTTAAACTCATATTTGCATTGTGTAAAGAACTGAATTAAGGGTCAATATGTGGTATATTTTGTTAAATTCTTTTAGTGGCATTTGACCACTTTGGTTTTTTTTTTTTT